TGATGTCTGGGTTGTAAAATCAGTTTGGCTGTATGGTTTGATAAGCTAGAGATTATTCATGAAACGATCCAACGCCATTTGTGCTGAGTCTACGAACCCTTTGTGTTGAAGGTCCCCGTGCGATCCAGATGGTCAAGAGGTCGGGATGGACACTGCCGGCAGAGGGGACCACTGGGCAAAGGGACTCGTAGTTCTGATCTGAGCACGGCCCGTCCAGTCTGAGATGCCTTCTAGGTGACGGCAGGATTCGTCTCTACACCTTGCCACACTGGCATATTTGCTTTACATCAATGACTGTCCAGTTTGTCCTGGTGGACATGACATACAGCAGTGTTGTTTAATCTCATTTGGGTCATTGTTGATCTGAGCCATGTTTTTAGTCGCCTGAGAGCACTGAAACTTCTTTCAGCTTCAGCTGATGACACTGGGATGACTAAAAGCAGCCTGACAAGAGTTTCAACTTGATCAAACAGACCCCTCACCTCCACTGGCATCCCTCTCATGATATAGTAGCCACCTCTGTGCTAGATTTAAAGGTATACTTTGACCTGAACATGGCTAGCTGAACCTTTTGTGTCTGCCTGTTCATTTCTGGGTACTGATCAACAATGCTATCCACCTCTCCAGTGAGCAGAATTTCTTCTAGCTTCTGCAAGAAACCTAAATCTGGTTGGTTGAACCTCTCCTGAAACTGAACATTACCAGTATCCAGCAACTTGTAAAACTCTGCTATGTAATGCTCCTCAGGTGACTTGGGAGTGTGCTGGCCGGCCCCACCAGTGAATTGTTTTGGTGGCCGTCTCTGGTGAGGAATCTGAATGGGCTCAATGCCAAGGGAGTCCACCATTTCCACTGCTTTATCAAAAATCTCATGAAATCTCTTTTCATTCCTTTTTAGTTGTAAAGTGGATCTGGCACACTCTATTGAGCTTCTCATTCCTGCAATAGTTGCAATCCGTTTCTGCAGAGACTTGTTCAGACACTCTAGCTCCTCAAGAACTTCCAATACCAAAAGAAGCCCAAGCACAGTTTTGCCTTTTCAAACCTCTCATGCAATCCATTTGCCCTTGCACCTGTGCTAGATCCAGTTGCTGCCATCTCCTCTAAGCTAGTCAAAACACTTTCATACTGAGACAGAACTGCTTTGACAGCAGTTCCCCCTACTCTCCACCTGGTTGGGCAGAGTGGTCTGAGTGATGTTGATGGTCCCTCTGAATCTGCTGTTAATGCTGAAAACAAAGCATTGAATTTTCCCAACTGTTTGCTCAGTGATCCCAGATCATGTACCCACTCTAAAGCAACACGTATTAAAGGACTAGCCTGACATGCAGCCTGTGTTATTAAGTTCAGGCAGTGTGTACCACAGTGCACGTACAATGCCAGTGGTTGTTGTTTCTTCATTTCTGCCTGAGCACCTGAATAAGCTCCTGACATGTTTGCAGCACCATCATAGGTCTGACCCCTTAAACAAGCCATTGGAATATTCAGCCTTAAAAGCACATCCACAGCCACTCTAGCTGTCTCCACTCCAGTAGTTTGTGAGACCTCACATAAGCCAACCAAAACCTCATGTGGAACTAGGTCCTCATCCACATATCTGAAACATATGGACTCTTGCTCTGTGCCTGATATGTCTTGAGTGCCGTCGATTATAATGGAGTACTGCAGGACTGATAGAGACTGGATAGTTTGTGCAATACTTCTGACAATGCAGTTTCCTAACAACTGCAAAATCTCATTTTGTGCTTGTGGAGAGATATAGTCATGACAACGGGATAGCCAGTCAGAAAGACAGGCATCATCACTGGATTTATATTTTAAATGTTGAAACAAGTTACCATCTTCCTTGTCACGGCCCCGCAGTGCCAAACCTTGCCTAGTAAGGTACAGTATGGAACACACAATGGTTTGTAAGCAGTGCCTGGCACTTTCCTGTTGTTTTGACCAGGCACTTGAGAGTACTGAATCTATCGGGGCTGCTTCTTGAGCACAAACTGTGACTGCATGATGATGGGATTGAGATTTTTGGTGGCGTTCAAAACTTTCAAGAGCATTCTTCCAGTTAGTAAACCCCTTTGAGGAAAATGCAGGCTCTGCCTTTTTGGACATAGTACTTTTCTGTACAGTGTATGTTTTCACACAGTAAAAAACAGAGAATTCCATTCACTGTGGGGCTATAATGAAGCCATGGATATTCTTTGTACCACCTCTCCTGAAAACGAAGGGTCTTATAGACAATGCTTGAACCGGGATGTATTTGGGATTAGGCTGGTTTGGTTTATTTTCAAAGTCCAGACAATCTCCATTTCTACACTGTTCTTCATTGCTGTCACTCTCACTGCCCCTGTTGCTCACTACAGCTGCACCAGTTGCCTTAGAAATAGACCAGATAATATAGTTAGCCACACTGTAACACTGACTATGTGGTAATACATACAGTATGTGACTTCATAAGGTCACCACTAATTTTAGGTAGATTAAATACTTTTTATCCACACATGATTATATATATATATATATATATATATATATATATATATATATATATATATATATATATATATATATATATATATATATAGCCAGATCATGTTTATGTGTTTAATGGGCCTCATCTTTGGCCCTGACTCTTCCCCTCTATGTCGCTACAACCTGGCTGGATTGCCACCTGATGCAACATTGATGAGTGCCATACCAGAAGTGAGACACTTTCTGTTAAATATACACTAATGAAACCGCTTTACCTCATTAGCCTAACATCTGTCATGATGCTAAATACTAGTAATCTATAGCACCAATTCAACAGTCAGATTCACCTGTGACCTTGCCTCTTCACCTCTTTCTGAGCTACAACATGGCTGAGCATCCTCTAACAACTGTCAAATAAAAGTAAGACTATGAGCAGTCACACAGCATGTGCTTTAAATATAGTGATGATGAACCATCATCATGACATGTAACAATGTTAAATCACAGGAGTTCTACATCACCACCAACACCAAGTCATCATTCATTAAACTTCACCCGTGGCCCTGTCTCTCCATCGTTGTCTGAGCTACAACATTGCTGTGTTAGTTCTGTCACCTGAAAAAATAGGACATCCATCATCATTACAAACTGCACCATGAGTGCATTTTAAAACTATTTGTGCCAATAACGTTATGACAATGGGCTCGTTTCTTTAGCAAACTTAACTTTAAGTGACTTACACGTTTCTCTGAAAAATAGCTCCTTATGTCTTCAACCTTCTTCTTTTTAGCCTCCATCCTCACTCGCTTTTGGCTCTATGTGTCACTCACATGACATTGCAAAAACAAGAGTGATTTAGCATAGCATAGCATAGCATAGTTTATTTATATAGCACATTTAAAACGCAGCATGGGAGCTGCCCAAAGTGCTGCACAGGCTAAAACAAAACACAACCATTCGAAAGAACTAAAACAGAGGATAAAAATCCCAGTCAAAAGCAGATAAAACATGATGAATACTAAGAACACATTGAAACAATGATACAATAAAACACTAAAACGAGTCACTGTCTAAAAGCCAAAGCGTAAAAGTGGGTCTTTAAACGAGATTTAAAAACCGCCAGAGATGGAGCCTGCTGAACTCCAATAGGCAATGAGTTCCATAGCTTTGGGGCAGCATGGACAAATGCTCATTCACCCCGTGATTTGAATCGCATCCGCGGCGTGCACAGCAGCAAAAGATCAGCCGACCTCAACGTGCGCGTGGGCACATATGGAGTGAGCAGGTCAGAGAGATAGGGAGGTGCCAGGTCATTGAGAGCTTTAAATACAAAGGTCAGTAACTTAAACTGCACTCTGAAAATGACAGGGAGCCAGTGAAGATGTCCCAGGACAGGGGTAATATGGCTACGTCGGTGTGTACTCGTCAAGAACCTGGCAGCAGCGTTCTGGACGACCTGCAGCCGATTCAGGGCAGATACCGGAACACGTTTACCTTCTAGCTTTGGCTCTGCTAACCGGCGTAGTTTGTCACGTGAGTCTCACGTGACAAGATGCACAGCCAATCACACCAGCCTTATGCATTACAGAGGTAGGAGAGAACGTCATTTAACCCTTTCTGCACCTCTAGGGTAACGAGACATTTGTCAGGCTTGTTTTTTTTTTTTTTTTTTTGCGGAGGTGGTCAAATTATTGGTGAGGACTATTTTGTCATCACTGGTTATTGGTAAGGACATGTCACTTCAGCCCATGCCAAATCTACGGCCATGACCAACTGTATTCTCCACCTCCCTCTACTCCCTCACTTGTCCAGATCCGGGCTAACATCAGATTTTAACCATAGGCCCTATGAAATAAAAATGTTTGAAGCCTAGTCTTAAAAGTAGACAAGGTGTCTGCCTCACGGACTAAAGCTGGGAGCTGGTTCCATAAGAGAGGAGCCTGATAGCTAAAAGATCTGCCTCCCATCCTATTTTTAGATATTCTGGGAACCTCCAGTAAACCTGCAGTCTGAGAGTGAAGTGCTCGGTTAGGAACATATGGAACAATCAGGTCACTGATGTATGATGAGCTTGATTATTAAGAGCTTTATATAGTTTAAGGTCTTGTTGTTCATCTTGCGGTACCTCAACAGTGGCACCCCAACATATCTGGCTGGACTGCTTCAGACGCATGCCCCTATGCTCTCTCTTTGCTCAGCTAACCAAGATTTGCTCATCATCCCTAGAACAAGGCTGAAAACAAGAGGTGATAGGGCCTTTTCTGTCCTAGCTCCACTATAGAACAAGCTCCCACTTTTTGTCAAACAGTCCTCATCACTGCAGGTCTTTAAGAGTCATTTGAAGACTTATTTTTATCGTTTGGCTTTTGTGTAATATGGATTTTTAGAAGTTTAGTCTTTTATCGTGTCTGTTTTATTATTTTAGGAGTAATCCATTCTACATGTAATAAGTGCATGAACTAGTTTTTCAGCATGTCTCCTGGAAAGGATGCTTCTAATCATAGCAATATTCCAAAGGTGGAAGAAGGAAATCCTACAAACATTTGAGACAATCATGAAGTGAACTGGAAAAACACAATCAATGAGTCTTAAAACCTCCAGAAATTCAATTCTGCACCTTGGCTCCCCTGGAATCATCAGCTCACCTGCACAAAGGAGCAACAGAGAGAGACAGTGTCCCTTTAAGAAGTAATTCACAGGGGAAAACTGCAAAGAGGGAAGAAGAGGAGGTGTGTATGCATACGTGTACATGTCAAACTGATAGACACTTGGGTGAGAGAGGCAGAAGGAGAGGCTCAAAGGAATGAGAAATGATGAAGAGAAAGAGAAAGACAGAGACACAACATTGCATTAGACTCTAAGAGCCATCCCTTGCTTGCTAAAGGCTAATGCAATTGCCACACAATGAGAGTGTCTCAGCGGAGGCTGTAAAAAGAACTAGAGAGGGGAATGTAAGAGGAGAGGCGGAGAGGGAGGCAAGAACTGGAGGGAGGAGGGGGTAAGAAGGAGGACTGGCAGCTCTGCCTTCAGACTCTCATATGAATCTCGTGGGACAATGGTTAAGAGTCTCTCTGTGTCTGTACTGGAACTCTGGGCTGAGTGTGAGTGGCTGCTGTGTCTTCAGAGTCATTCATCAGGTTTGCTGGGAGGAGACACAGAGGGAGAGAAGGGGAGACGACTCTGGTAGCAAGCAGGAAGCACCAGCCAGCTGGATGGGTGCGTTAACTCCACATCTGACCTCTATGGGAAGCACAGCAGCCTCCTCTGCTCTCCTCTCTTCTCCAGGCAAACTGTGGGAACAAGGGAGAACAGAGCTTTGTGTCTCCCTCTCTTCCTCCTCCTCCTTCTATCCCAGCTCCTTGCTGGGCTGTGGAGCTCAGGGAACCAGGACTGGACAGAGCAGGACATGACAGGACAAGACAGATTTGGCGGTGAGACTTCAACCAGACACCCAAGCTCTGAGGACTGCACCGTTGAGTTTTGGAGCTGGGATGACCCGTCTGGCTCAGTTGACCTGTCAGTCCGGTAGTTTTCTAGTCAGTGATCAGCCAGTCAGACGGTCAGTTAGTCAGCCTGTTAATCAGTCACAGGGACCCTTCCCAAACAATTCCTCCAGTTTGGGAATATCCTCATCTGAACTCGGATGTGACTCAAGTTGAACTAGAAGAGGACCCGTGGGCACGGTGAGTGGGAACGCTCACACGCTTCTTTGTGTTTTCTTTTTTTTTTATTTCTGTGGGTACAACATTCCTTCCTCGACTTTTATTAGTTTAGCTCTCTTGTGCCTCTACTTGTTTATTCTTCCTCCTTTGGGCAGCTGACTCGTAACAAACACATGACAGCAGATCTGATCAAAGCCTCGGCGTGATGTGGTGTTGTTCACTTAACGTGCTCCAGCTTTGATCTCCTCAGATCTTCCTCTTTGGTGTCTAATCATGCTTCTCATGGGGGTCAAATAGAAGATAAACAGAACTTAAAGGAAGGCTGGATGAAACTTCCTCAGAGGACACACACACACACACACCTCTATGCGACTTCTTGGTGCTGCTTCTTGATAATCTCGTGGCTGTGTTTTTTTTTTTTTTTTTTGTATAAAGCCATAATCTCCCTGCTGTTTGGAAAAGGAGTTTGATATGATAAACTGACCCCAAAGTCAAACGCACAGAACATTTTCTTTGGACAAATCGTTCAAATACTTGAACTTGTTCCAAAGTTTTATTTGTGTCGGCTAAATCAGCGAGTTGTTCCCGTGTGTGAGAGAGACTCGTTATGCAAGGATGAAGCTAATGAATCGAGAGAAGTCATAATTTAATTATTGTATGAGCAGAATGTGAATCTAGATGTCACGATATAAGTAAAATGCCATCATCTCCAAACATTCACAGTATTTTCCTTTTTATGCTTTTTAGTTCAGATTTAACCCACAAGTTTACCCCAGAAAGGGTCAAAGGGTTCTTGTTCATGAGCAGATGCAGACATGGGCGTTGTCTCAAGACCAGTGAGCAGATGTTGTCCATTAGGACCGGCTGCTAATTGGGCTGTTATTGATACAGTTGACTTCAAAATGTAAAGAAGATTAGGTTTTCCACTGGTTTTCCTCAGCTCTTTAAGCCCAGCCATCCATCCACCATAATTTATTTTGATGTGAAGCAAACAGCTCAGATCCAAAACCATCGTAGCCAGCATCCAAATGAAGGAGCCTTTGATAGGCCCCGACTGATGCATATTTTCTTTTTACGACCAATGAAGTAGTAAACAGCTTGCCTTGCTGGCTCTGGGGTGGGACTATAAAAAATGTGAGTGAAAATGAACACACACACACACACACGCACACACACACACACACACACACACACACACACACACACACACACACACACACACACACACACACACACACACACACACACGCACACACACACATACAAACAAAACCAATCTGGACAACACAGACCTTTCCACTGCAGGATGACACCGCTAGCTGGATGTGTTTGCCAGCTGCTGATTTCATAATCAGGTTTGTTGTGCTATGCCTGGCTGCTGCAGACACAGCAACAGCAGCGGTAGCCTCCAATTGAAGCCATGTGTGGTGGAAAAAACAGGCCCGGGTTTGTGGAGAGATTGCATGCTTGAAGTGGGAGGGAGCCTGCTGGTTGCAGAGGTCACAAGCCGAACACGCCAACTCCTCCCGGCCTGCTCACACGCCATGCTGACGGATGCATCTCAACAGTTCCTCCCGAACCTCCTCTGCTCCCCTCTTTAATCTAAAGTAATTGGAGAGGTGCATCACCCTCTGCTGCAACCTTTTATTTATTTATTTTTCATTTTACCACTTCTGTAGATAAAATTAAGGGAACCTGAGGAAAAAAAAACACTCCTGGCAGGTTCCTGCAGACTAAAACAGAAGGGAGGTTGTTTTAGGGTGTGTCAGAAATGTAGAAAGAGGGCGACTGAGTAGAATGAATCAGACTGTTTTCTTTACTAATAGCAACATTGACACATACTGTACTCAGATGAACCTTTCCATGGTGTTGTGTCTGGCTCTGGTTCCTCCACACCCACATCACCTGACCTCACGTCCATCCCCACCCTCACATGCATCACTTCAACCCTCATCAGTGCATTACTTCCTCTCCTTCAGCCTCTCCTGGGTTCACGATAACAGTCTCTCTCTCTTCTGCTCCAAATGTTATCAGCGTAGCCACAGCTATTAGCTAATAGCTGCAAAAGCTACTATCAGATTCTCAGATAGACATTGCCAGGCTTTAATGCAGCTGTGCCATTTCCCTTCATGCGTTACGATCGATCAGGTTCCCGTCCAAGCGGAGGGCCCAAATAATTCCTTCATTCCGTTCCCATATAAGCGGTGAGTCATCGCCCCTTTAAAAGACAACAATCGCGTAATTTAACATCAACCACTTTTTGGCACTAAACTTTCAAATCCGCTTCGTCTCGAGTGTCTTGTTTCATTTCTTTTCCAAGAAAAGGTTGGCAGAGATTGATTTTGCATGAAATTACATCCTGGCTGAATTGCATTAACTATGTAAAGTGGATTATTGTTAATGGGACACGTGAAAAAGCGCTCGCGTTATGCCTGCTTTCATCATCAGTCACATGGGATGGCTGGTTCATCAAGACTGAGTGATCTAATGAGCTCGATAATGAAGCCCAGCCCCGGTCAACACCGCTAATGACTTTTTAATCCTCGCGGGTTCTTTAGTTACCTACACGGAGGTGAGATTGGTTCAGATAAGGGTTCTGGGTTTAGTCACTTGTGTCCTGCATGGAAGAAATGTTCGTTCTTTGTCCTGTCCAGAATTAGCCTGAAATTAATTATTAATTTGAACAGGGTACACTGTGATAATTAATTATAGGACAAATGCTGTTTTGTCTAGGAGGCATTGGTGATGTTTTCTTGGTTATTTTATATGAAAAGAGATTCATTTTACAATCCTCTTGCATTGTAGTGCAGGTCAGTGATTGCAAGTCAATTATTTATGAATCCATGTTGTCTGAGCCTAAAATGGACCACGGGCCAAAAAGAAAAGTTTCTAAACAAGATGCTTGCGATGACCATGATGGAAAAACAAAAATATAGCTGGTTTATAAAAGAACTAAAATAAACTGATCAACGTAACTCCTCATGTGGGATCATGAAGTACATGAACCTAATTAAATATTCCACTCAGCCAGTGTAATGTTCCTGTGCTTCATGTGCCCTAAAATAATGAGCAAGAAATAAAATAAACGAGGTCTAGACTTTATGTAATAGATCGTTTTGGCACTAAAGTCAAGTGTTTTTTATTTTTTGTTCATTTAACAATTAGGCACTTTTGGGCTTTTTGCTAACTGGTCATTTTATCAAATACTTTTCCCACAAGAGGTGACATCAAATAAAAGAAAAAAACCTTGCTGCCAGAATGTTAAACCTGTATAAAGTTTTCGCTAAATCTTAACAACATTATGTGCGCTCTCATGAAATTTCTCCAACAGTCATTTAGCTCTCGGCGTATAAATGACCTTCGGGTACTATTGGGTGGAATTTTAGCTCCATATCTGTAAACTTGACTGGGTTTTAGCCATTTTTACATTAAAAGCTAATTTTGGTCACCTGTAGCAACATGGGCACAACACAATGTCAGCAGTGAAGATACATTTTATGACGTTTTACTTGATGATAATCCTGTTTTAAAAAATGCGACAGAACTTTTTTCTTTTTTCTTTTTTTGTTGGTTATTTGTAGAATGGTAAATGGCCTGTGTTTGATATAGCGCCTTCTGAGGTTCTACAACTCTCCAAAGCGCTTTACTGTATAGCACAACCAGTCATTCACCTACACACACATTCACATGCTGGTGGTGATGAGCTACACCATAACCACAGCTGCCCTGGGGCGCACTGACAGAAGCGACACTGCCAAGCACAGGCACCACTGGACCACTCTGACCACCACCAGCAGGCAAGAGCCTCTTTTAGAAAACAATGCCGCCAATTTGCCGCAATGCCGAGTTGCGCCGAGTGAGGGAGCCTTAGGTCGTGGTCAGACCGTGGCGGTAATGTGGATCCTTTTTACAAAAGATTCCGCAATGGCAGTTCAAAGAGGGAATAGGGGTGGACTCAGCGCTCCTGCAGATTTCCGTTTATCTTGGACATAACTTGCTTTTAATAGCGATAGAAGCAGCACTCATGATTTTTTTTTCATAAGCTGCTCCTAAAGGTGTCTGTCCTCCACATTCCCTTTGCAGTCTCAGGTGATCTGAGCTCCAGCTCTAACGGAGAGAAGCTCCTGGAGCTCCCTCTGTTGTGCCAAGGCATAACATGCATTCACAAGTCCTGTAATATTGCAGTAGTATACTTTTTTTCCTGTGTCCTGTCCATCTGTTAAGCAATCAGGATTTATGAGTGCCGAAGACAAGCCTTGCAGATTTACTCTCACAGGAGGAGCAGTATAGCTTCAGCTAAGAGGCCTCGCCTCATACCAAAACTTTATTAGAAATATTTTGGGTTGTTTAAAGCCCAGCGGACAGAGAGAGAGAGAGATGAAAGAGGACGGAGGGAGAGGAAAGGAAAGGAAGAGGTGTGTGCATGTGTGGGTGTGTTGAGGGGGGGGGGGGTGTCCCAAAAATAATAAAGTATGTACAAGAATCTGCTTCTAGACCTGCAGAAAAAGACAGAATAAAAGGACACACACAAAATTACAACATAAACAAAATATCACAGCACCAACCACATGAGGATATTTAACAGTAACAATTTTTGCTGAAAAGCACACAGTAATAATTCCTAGTGTATTTAGTGCCAACCACAGCCTTAGGTTATGTGTCAAAAATGCCCAAGTCCATCCTTGTAAGAGCACCATGTGAGCACCTGTGTGCGTACACACGCTTGTGGTGTAAGGTTTTTCGACAGCAGTGCTCAATAGTGGAAATGATAGGCCATAGACCTGCCTCCAAAGACCTACGGAGGATGGAAGAGTTCCAAGCTACAGTGATCCAGAGGTCTCCTCCAGAGCTAGGAATTCCCAGGGAGACTTCCAGTGCATCCAGCCCCAGGTAACATACTGACAACAGAGGTGTGAGAAGACCCCTAATTTCCTTCGTGGTCCCCACATTCCCAATGTGGTGTTGATGCCTGTTGTTAGAAGCATTCTGCGGCTCGGACGGGGGGCAGCGCAGGCATCGTCTGGCCTTCACCAGCTGGTACCAGCACACATCCCCAACCCCCCTCCCCAGAGCCCTCCGTGTCTAGGTGCAGCTTAAAATTGGAAGTGGGCACTGGCACCCATGGTGAGGCTAAATGAACAGATCTGCCTCTCCAGGTGTTGTCAAGTGTGCTCACACCCAATGCCCTATAGGTGGAAGTGTTTAATATGCACGTTAACATGGGGTTGCAGGACTGCGGACATGGGAACCGCATCTGCACCCCCTGAACTTCCCCACACCCCAGGCCTAGGTGCATATTTGTGCAGGAGTAGGAAAATGTCTGAGGATGGTGAGGAAAGGCTGGGGGGCCTAAGCCCTCCTGGGAGCCAGCTCCCCCGCTGACCCCAATAGGCATCCTCGTTCCCAAAACTTACGTGGGGCATGGAGACCCCAGCCCATCTAACCAGTGTCCAAAACAGCAGCATCGCAGAACCTCACAGAGTTCGAGGTCAACAACTCATCCCCCAACAGCAGAATATCTACTCCCACACCTGCATTTGATTAACTTCCAGACTAGACAAGACATAAAACACCCAGGTAAAGTTGGATTATCCCTCTCCCGGAGGTCCCCCTTCCCCCGTGATGGAATAGTAGTGGTCCTGTCAGATCAAGAGGTACCATGGTTCATTGGATGTCCCTGAGCCTTTGCTGTGGTAATATTACAACCAAGCATGTGCCGCCACGGTGTATCATATGAATGCTCCTTGGCGGCAGGTGTGCCTTCTAAAATGGGCTAAGGAGGTTGAAGTGTCTTGCCCAAGAACACAACAACTGAGATAGTTGAGGTTCGAACCTACAACCCAGCGGTTACAGGACGAGCACTTAACTCCTCTGCCTTGGTCGGTTTAAAATTAAGGGGTTTAAGTGTTGAACACTCATTTAATCAATACATTTGCAGTGGTCTTGTGTAGAAATGAATGTCGGTAATGAATGTTGGGGTTGCTAATGCTAAAGGTTAGCTTCTGCTAGATAAGATGATCAACACTGTTTCCTTGAAGCTAAAACAACAGCCTTCCTTGTCATGAGCGGGGAGTTCAACGGACTGCTTGACATAGAGTGGTCAGGATTCTCAAATCCTATCATTTCATCGTCTATTTTCTATCAGAAGCTAATGCAGGTGTAGAAGACTATTTTCTTGTTCAGCCTGCATGAAAAAGTCAAGAGTGACCGATAATAGTCAGAAAATATCATTAAGAAAAACTTCAGTGTTCCACACCTTTAATATGTTGCAGTAATAATGTAAACACATACCTGTAAAAATAATGGGTGCAAATAATATTCAACTTTTTATTCATATTTCACTATATTTTGGAAATTTGTATAGTTTAGTCATTTTTCTTCCCCAGCAGAGCATCTTTTCATACGATGCAAGGACTAAAATGGGATCTTCCAATGTTTAAATATTTAAAAAAGATTAAATGTTACACAAAAACATTAACATTGTTATTTTTTTACTCCTCCTTATTTAAATGACATCAGATCCTACTTTGAGTCTCTTCTCTGGTGTCTTGTTTGGGCTTGGTGACAAATCACAGTGGCACCAAATTGAGAAATGCAGGGTGACATCACCGCTGCGCAGCCAGATTTAGATGTGAATCTTATGTTTATATATCACAATATTACCTCCTGTGTAAACTCTACCAACCACTCAGGGCAGAGCTACGATAGAAAGCATTTTCCAGCAAATGGTTTGTGGCTGTCTGTCGTCTCTGCATCAGAATAAAACCAGAGGAAGATAAAAAGTCCAACATTTGAGCATGTTTAGACTCCAAAGAATGTAGCAGCCACCTGAGCTCAGTGCTGTTTGCTTTGGATCTCCTGCAGCCTTTTGCCCAACAAGCAGGCTGTGTTAATGAGGTCAGTTTGTTCGGCTGAGAATGCAAACCTTGCGCTTTCTAAATGTGGCGACTTGTTCACATCTTCAGCCTTCATGTGATTATATAAAAACTTCCATCAGGCTGTAAATCCTGTTCGTTCGGTCTCACACAAACTGGAGAAATTAGATGTGGCTTTCACAAACCACAGCAAAAGTCACATTTGGCTGACTATTGAATATTGTGTCAATCTAAACGTGTCACTGGTGCAGAATGTTAGTTTTGATTTTCTTTATTCTGACGCCACCGTGTGATTCCCCCTTCTTCAAATGTTCCCAGCGTTCACGTAAACCTGACAGTAATGTCACCCATCATTCATTCTCCGTATTGAGTTTCATACCCAGCAAACAAACACTGACTCACCAAAGTGTTCGAGGGCATGACCACTCCCTTCATTCACGGCATTTTCTTCGTTTCTTTCCCAGACGACACGCTGCAACTCATGCATGCAAATGAACACTGCGCGTGCAGCCGAGCTGTCTTTCTGCTTTACTGTTCACTGATGCACAACTTTATGTTCCAGATCTCACAGCCGAAACAAACTTTTTTATTCATGATTCCTGTGCGGGAGCAGTTGCCAACTGTTAACTCTGCTTGACGGGACAGACGCATTTTTCTGTCTGGAAGGATTCTACATGCCTTTGTCAAGTTGTACAACATGGATCTGTGTGTGCATCTCTAGTATTCCATCTAGATTTACGTCTAGAATCTTGTTTATTTGTGCTTTTTTTCCTGCATCTTGCCAACTCATATTTATTTTTGTTTTCACCAGTAGATAAACTTTTGTTTGAAGGTTTGGAACACTGAAAGAAAACATGTTTTATGATTATTTCTGATAATCAGTCAGTCAGAGTTTTTCATGCAGGCTGAACATGAAAATAGTCTCCTACACCTGCATTCGCTACTGATAGAAAATAGACAGTGAAACGCTAAGATTTGAAAAGCCTGATTGCTCTTTCGCTCTCTGTCAAGCAGCATCCTGGCATGCGACAGAGAAGGTTATTGTTGTTTTAGCAGAAGCTAAACGTTAGCGTTAGCAACTCAACCACATGGCAGAAGCTCCTCCAGGCTTGTGTTAATTGTGGAGAAAAACTTCAGCGTTGCAGAGCAGACAGAGTTAAGGGTAGTGTAATGTTGCTGCCATACAATCATAAGCAAAATGCCCAAATATCAGGGAATAAGACTTCAAATCCTGGCGTGTTGCGCCACTCTCAGCTGCAGCAGACATGTCCGTGCTGATCCAGGAGCTTCTGGGCATTTTTTGCCCTGAGTACGGCTTGCAAGGCATTCAATCCTACCAGAGACCACTGCAGAGATATTTATTAAACAAGTGTTCTACACCTCTAAATTAAACAGCATAAATACATAATGTTAATCAGGAAGCTTTTGACAGGTTTTTGTGAAAATTCATCACTGAAAATAAAAGGGACCAGACTAAAGGTTTGTCTTTACCTAAAATCTAACGATGAGGTTCATTTTAATTTACTTCTACAGTACTACTATCTTCTTACAGCAGAAACTCTATCGTTTGAAATCTAAAATAAAGGTTGAGGATAATTAAAGTGATCAAAGAAGACCAGTTGAGACTCAGCTCCAACCACCTCCTCTTCCTCCTCCACACCGCTGAACAATCCTGTCATTATTTCTTTCCCACCAGGGTGGGCCAGGAATTTTCCCTGCAAAACCGCACAAACAACAACAACAAAAGATAATAATACACACTTGCATGTTTTTACTCCCTGTCCTCATGTAAACCCACCCAGCAACTACAAGTCATCAAGGGAGTGTAAAAAGAAAACCTAAAGCAGGTGAACTAAATTTTATTTAACCTGAAATACCCTTTATTAGACTGAGACTAAACAAAACCTTGCCCATTTCTTGTAAATTGCTTGATAATTCCCAAAAAGAAAGATGATTTCATTAGGGCAACTCTTTGGCGGGTATTTTATACCACCGGTGAAACAGAGAGTTTTCACTGACCGTGCAATTTTTAAACAAACATATTTTCTTTTTTTTTCTCAAGTTGCTTTAAGCTAACTGACCACGTTGCATGTTTCGGCCGGACTCCACATCTGCTGCTTCCTGCTGAGGAGAGCAACAAAAAGTCTGCAGAGTCGTACCTCGTGTCTCACAAATGTACATTTTTTTTATTAAGCAGCAGCATCATTCATTCCAGGATTGCACAACTGGTCTGGATTGCATCAAAGACTGTTATCAGATCAAGATATAAGATGAGGGGCTTTTTTTTCTCAAAGGAGATGTGAGTTTAAAATCTTTGGGGTTTTTTTTCAGGTCACAGGTGCTACACAGCTGCAGCAGAAGGAGATCATCTGGAGACCAAATAAAAGAGAAGAGGATGTAATGGCGCAGAGGGCAGGGAAGGGCAGAGAGGTGTGGATCCAGCCTCTTGTCTTGGCTGCGGTGGGGAGGGTTCCTGGCACCGTGATTTGATGCACAAAGAGAAACAAAAATCACATTGCCAGGGATTTCCACTCCTTCGCAGCCCAGCAGGTACCCTGTCCCGTTCTTTCAGCTCCTCTGTGGCAAAGTGCCTCTTTGGCTTGTAGATGATTTATGACTGTGGATGTTGCCACAGAAATCTTACTCGATAATCTGGACGCACTTCTAAAGATGGTTTGTCTCTTAAAAATGCCTGAATGCCTGAGTCAGTGTGCAGCTGTTTGAAATCGTAGCTGCTTTCTCTTTTCTCCCCTCTAATTCACCAGGAAGTGAACGTGAAAGCGTACTGGAGCCACGCAGCTTTACGTGGTAGAACTAATTTGTAGAGGTATATTTTTCAGCTCCGGGACTTTAGATTTAAAAAAAAGGAAGTTATTCAGATATACAAGACGAAGACTTGGATCCTCCACAGGCCGCATGCTCTGAGGCTCGCTGCAAGACCGGCAGGCTCTGAAACCCACTGACTTTACCACTGAGCACTCGCATAAAGGTCTCCATAAATCTCTGCTTCCTCCAAAAGCCAGCCGCCTACTTGCTAAAGGCACAGAGCTTAGCTAATTGGTGAGCATTGATCCCTGCTATGTGTTGTTCACAGTGGCTAAGTTCAGTGCCTGAGGTGAAATAGTAGATTCAACGTCTGGGATTTGTTCCAGTGAATGGTCAGAACTTGATGATCTCGGAAATGCAGAAAGACGAAGAAAAAGCAGAAGAGGAGAAGAGTGACCAGAGATTAAGTGGAGATGGAATGAGGAGGAAAGGGAATAAGGTCCCAGTCAGCGTTTACTTTGGGATTTGTTGTTCTGATTCTGTGGAAATTATCATGCTGGTTTTTGTTATGTGACATCAGACAATCTCTGTTTCCTAGAAACTAACACGTCAAGTCGGAATCACCACAAATACTCATGACAACCTTTCAATCTGTCCCTGTGACCCTGTTGATTTGACAATACCACAGGCTTTATTGTAATGCGAGGAATGTGGTGCAACACTGTGTGACCTAATTTGTTTTTAGTGTTGCTCAGGACAACTCCAGTGTTACACAGTAAGTCGTACAGTCAGACGCTAGCCTCCTCGCCCCCTTTTGAAAGAGATAGTTTGGCCATATTTGAATGTCTTTCTATTTAAAATGAATAATTTCCTGAACAGCCTCTGGTTGGAGAAATAACTTTTACAACTGGCCGGGCCATTGAGCTAATGTCTAGTTCCAGTACAACCAAGACCAAAGTAGATTTCTGCAATCTCAAAACAGCTTCAGTCAGTCGGTTCATACACACATTATATTGATGAATCAATTATTTTACCACCTTTCAATGAGCTCGACATACGTGAGGCGACATTGCCTCTCTTCCATTCATTTTCAATGAGACATGCGCGACAAAGCGATAATCGCGGGTCTCCCTCCTGCTAAGCGGCACGCAAAAAAACGTGCATGTGAAATTTTGTGATCGAGCATTCGCCACGTAGAGGCGAGCCAGTGATGTGATCCCAGAAAGTTGAGAAATGTTCAACTTTTCCTCGCTGTCGCTCAGACAAGGGCCAAACAGCGGAGGCTTCGTTGACTGACCAATGAGCGGACAGGATGCTTCCCAGTACAGCTCCACGCAAACATGGAGAAAAAGTTAATACTTGCCATGTCGGATTTCCCAGATCCTTACAACATTTCTACAAAAGAGTATAGAGATCTTCCCAAAAGGCAGCATGGGAAATTGTTGGTGTCAGAATCAATACATCAGGTAAGTTTTTACTGATGCAAACATTTTTGTAACTTATCTAGTGCAATAGCAAACCTGAATAAATGTCATCTGTGTATTATATAACTATATAACTGCTTTAATAACCCAGAATTCCCCCCAATCTGGCAGCCAATCAAAACAATGGAAGGCTCGCTGACTTTGCCGCTGGCCGCTGCTGCATGTCACCTCTCGTGTGTCAGGTTATCAGAGCGACAGCGATGAGTTTTGCCACTTGCAGCCTTCTGATGTCTACCGTGTGACGAGCACATGATTCTGACAAAATAGAAAAGCTTCAAACCATATCAAATTGACAGGTCAGCGTGTCATATGGTTGTAAATAAAGTGTATGGTGATATGACTGGTAAAGTGGCCCATCAGGGTGTCATACGATTGTTCTAAACAAAGTGTATGATAATCTTATGGCTAAACTGGCCCAACAACATGACATACAGCTTAAAAGGTGTATGCCTGTCTGACAGACTTGTGCTGTCAGACAGGCATATGCTGTGTCAATCTGACAATGTATGGAAATGGGACAGAACAGATTAAAAAAGAAAAAAAGAAAAAAGGTCATTTCTCTCTAAAAAATTTTTTGGGAGTCTGTTAAAGTGGTTTTCTGTCATTCACATATCAGTTATATTTACATTATCTTTTATGCGTTTGAAGACTGTTTTTTATCCTTAATATTCAGTAGTTTTAGTGTTTTCCAGCCAGCAGAGATCATTGGGGGACAGGAAGAAGAAAAAAAAGGTGAAAGCTAATTCTGATGCTAGCGATTTAGCATGTTTAACCTGATTCTTTTACAACTTGCATTTAGACTTGCAGATCATGTGCTAGCAGCTGATACACCTTAACATTTCTTACAGAAAGCACAAACATTATCCACGGCTGCATGTTACAGGAGTAATGCGTGTCAAATGATTCCTGGGCTGCGCCCTCCTGTGCCTACTGAACTGGTATCAGTGTTAAACCTGAAAACTGGCTCAGTTCAGCAGGAACAGGAGTGGAGCCCACTAACTTTGAAGACACATCGTTACAGACTGAGCTTCACCATGAGGCAGCCTAGCCCAGACTCACTGTTTCAGCTGTTATGTTAAATTGACCGCACCCAGAACAAAGCAGGATAGGATGCTTGCTTTGAGTCACTGACCTCCAACCTAACGAACTACAGCCCAGATTACAGGACGAGGAAGTTGGGTTTGACTAATAAGACTTGTAAAAATAAATGCTGCCATGCTATTCCGCCTACAAACACCTTTCTGTCTCTCCTTTTGTTCTTAACTGACAAAGGCCAGACTGAGACCGGAGCTCAATGTGAGGTAATCCAAATAAAATGTCTGCTATGCTGGTGTAATTGATGTCACCCAGCCGTTCCCATTCCCAGAGATTGGAAATGTGTGCAAAGCTACGTCCATTCCACACGTCAGATTCTTGTGGCCACAAAAGGAAAAGTGCTTTGTGGTCTACTCAGAGGAAAGTGGAACATCATGATCAAGGCTGACGAATCTGCTCTCATCCAGCTCCTCCACTCTTGACGGCAGGGATCACAAACATTTAGTTCTGTTTGTGTCAGTAAAAAGTTTAATTCAAAGCTGAAGGAGATAATCCAGAAAAAGGAGAGTGAGATTGAGCTGCGACGACTTTAGGGCATTGTTGAAACCCATTTGTACGACTGTGATTTATGTACGCATTCAATCTGACAAAATGTGTCAGACAACGGTGCATAACATCCATTATTCTAAATGTCAGTGCTCTTTCAACACTGCTCAACAATTTGATGCATGATTTGCTCTCATGTTTCAGGTGTAATGATCTTTTCATTTCAGCTCTACAGCAGCCGTGATTTTAAATAATAAAGCCTAAATGAGCACAAGAAA